AGAGTGTGTACTGTGTGTATTTTGTGTTTCAGAGTGTGTACTGTGTGTTTCAGAGTGTGTACTGTGTGTATTATGTGTTTCAGAGTGTGTACTGTGTGTTTCAGAGTGTGTACTGTGTGTATTTTGTGTTTCAGAGTGTGTACTGTGTGTTTCAGAGTGTGTACTGTGTGTATTATGTGTTTCAGAGTGTGTACTGTGTGTACTGTGTGTACCTGGTTCTGGTTCTGTGTCAGGTTCAGATCAGGTGGTTTGTCGTGGGTCGGGCTGTGTTTGCGTCTGATTCGTGGGTGGAGCTTATCCTTCAGCTTCATGGTGAGAGATGAAAACTGAGAGGCTGTAGAGGAAAAGATCATCATCATCAACATCATCATCATCATCATCATGACATCATCGCCATCTTCAATATCACTGATTGGATGAAACATCACAACTGGTTTCTGATTGGACGAAACAGAGCTTATTTCCGATTGGATAAAACTTCAGCGCTGGTTTCTGATTGGATAAATCAAGCTTCTGGGTCGGCATAAAGCCAGACATCAACCTGATTGAATCTTGAGGCTGGATTTCTGAGAAACATTTAAAATAACATCATTGTGTGCGGATTTAATAAAGTAATTAATTCAAACTTGTTTTTTTAATAATTAATGTTAAAAGTTGTTTGATCATCCCAGACTGGAAACAGGATCATTAAAAGATCGAGTCAAACTGACACTCGTACCCAGAATGAGTGGATGGAAACTTCTGAGAGGAACTTAATATTTCCTCATCAACATTTGATGATTATTGGTTAAAACTTATTTTAGATATAAAACCTTTAAAACTGCTTGAAAACATCTCAAATCAAACTCTACAGATCTTTACTCAGCTTCACTTCCAACTGACACACAGACAAATCCAACTACAGACTTTGTGATATTTCAGCTGTTTATATAAAACTCTTCAGCTCATTCAGGTAACTTTTGGTTTTTATACTTCTATACTTTTCAAAATAAAGAACTTCTTTAACAACATTACCACAATAAAATCACTTCAGAACGTTGTTCTCTTTTAAATAGGCTTCAGCCACTGCCTGCTTTTGTCTTCATTTAGCTTTTAGCCACTGTTCTGTCATGTTTAGTTAGCCTTATGCTATATTTAGCTTTTAACTATCATTTTTGATACTTTTAGCTAAACTTATGATGATTATAGTGCAAAGCTGCTTTAAGCTAACATTTTACTATTATTAGCTTTCAGCTAGTCTGTTGCTATATTTAGCTTTTAACAAGGTATTAGCTTATTTTACTTTTTCAGCTTTTGTCTTTTAGCTTTAAGGTATCCAGCTTTTAGCTAGTGATTTTTGCTCTTTTTTACTTTTAGCTAACATTTTTCCCTTTAAGCTAATGTTGATTTGTTTAGCTTTTAGCTAGTGTAGGCCTCTTTAAGCCAGTATTTTTCTCTGTTTAGATTTTACATAAACATACATGCTTTTAACAGTCCTGACTTTAGTTAGCGTTTAGCTTTTAGCTACTGTTCTGTCATGTTTAGTTAGCCTTACGCTATACTTAGCTTTTAACTATTATTTTTGCTACTTTTAGCTAAACTTTTGATGATTATAGTGTAAAGCTACTTTAAGCTAACATTTTATTATTAGCTTTCGACAAGTCTGTTGCTATATTTAGCTTTTAACAAGATTGTAGCTTATTTTTACTTTTTCGGCTTTTGTGTTTTAGCTTTAAGGTATCCAGCTTTTAGCTAGTGTTTGTTGCTCCTTTTTACTTTTAGTTAACATTTTCCCATTTAAGCTAATGTTGATTTGTTTAGCTTTTAGCTAGTGTAGGCCTTTTTAAGACAGTATTTTTCTCTGTTTAGATTTTACATAAACTTACATGCTTTTAGCAAGTGTCCTGGCTTTAGCTAGTGTGTAGCTTTTAGCTAATGTTCTGCATCTTTTAGCTTTACCAGCTCAGTTTCAGCTGCAGGGTAACAGGAAATGTTGAGGTTTTTAAACTTCTGTTTATTTATTTTAGCTCTTTTCTTCATCACCATCAGGTCAGTGATGATGATGATGGTGGAGTTGAAAAGTTTTCGGCTACTTTTCTTCATCTGTGCTGCTCTCAGAGTCTGAAGCCATGTTGGACACCTGCAGCTGAACCCTGGAGACCTCCCAGCCTGACAGGAAGTGACAGTTTTTAGGAGAAGAGAAGAAGAAGACTCACCTGTCTTGGTGTCGGAGCGGGAGGACATGTCTTCAGGAGGACAGGTGAGACAAAGGGACACTTTTATTCCTCTGCGCTCATGTTGAGCTGCTCTGATTCTGTTGATCCCCTGCCTCTCTTCCTTCCTCCTTCTCTCCTTCCTCTTTCTGTGTGAAACCCGGTAACCATGACGACCAGGATGCTGACACGTCTGCAGCAGCATCCTGCGGTGCCACCTGCTGGACGTGGACACGCAGCACGTCCCCGGGCTGCGAGACAGACGAGCAGAAAGAAGGAGCAGAAACATCTGGACATGTCTCAGTTCTTCACAGAGACACCTGGACATGTCTCCAGTTACCACAGAGACACCTGGACATATCTCCAGTTACCAGAGAGACACCTGGACATGTCTCCAGTCCATCACAGAGACATCTGGACATGTTTCCAGTCCATCGCTGGGAAACCAGGACATGTCTCCAGTCCATTGGAGACACCTGGACAAGTCTTAGTTCTTCACAGAGACAACTGGACGTGTCTCCAGTCCATCACAGAGACATCTGGACATGTTTCCAGTCCATCGCTGGGAAACCAGGACATGTCTCCAGTCCATTGGAGACACCTGGACAAGTCTTAGTTCTTCACAGAGACAACTGGACATGTCTCCAGTCCATCACAGGGACACCAGGACATGTCTCCAATCCATCACAGGGACACCAGGACATGTCTCCAGTCTATCACAGGGACACCAGGACATGTCTCCAGTCCATCACAGGGACAACAAGACATGTTTCCAGTCCATCCCTGGGACACCTGGACAAGTCTTAGTTCTTCACAGAGACAACAGGACATGTCTCCAGTCCATCACAGGGACACCTGGACATGTCTCCAGTCCATCACAGGGACACCTGGACATGTTTCCAGTCCATCGCTGGGACACCAGGACATGTCTCCAGTCCATCACAGGGACACCTGGACATGTCTCCAGTCCATCACAGGGACACCTGGACATGTCTCCAGTCCATCACAGGGACACCAGAACATGTCTCTACTCCATCACAAGAACACCAGGACGTTTCCAGTCCATCGCTGGGACACCAGGACATGTCTCCAGTCCATTGGAGACACCTGGACAAGTCTTAATTCTTCACAGGGACACCAGGACATGTCTCCAGTCCCTCACAGAGACACACGGGGACAGTTTGGAGTTATTGTTTTTGGTCTGTATGGAACAGGACCACACTGGGAGAACATGTAACCTGCACACAGAAAGGCTGGGAGGCGAACCTGTGACCGTCTCTCTGCCCGCTGCACCACCCTGCAGACTCTGGTTAAACACCAGTTTCTTCAGTTTGTTTTGTAAAGAAGAAGAACGAACAACTGAGTTGTGATTAATAACTTTATTCATGTCAACATGTGTTCATTGGCCTTGGTCACACAAGTTTACACAACACTACACACACACACACACACACAAACACACACACACACACACACACTCACACACATTGGAGTGTGGGCCGCTGCATATGTCAGAGTAATACACACATGTTCCTGACAGTTATCACTGGGTTATATTCTTCATATGATCCGTAAACAGAGTTTAACACCAAACAAAGACTTCACTGCAGAATCACTTCAACTACTCAGCATGCTGCCACTAACAGGGACAGGTGAGGACACGTGGACACGCAGCCGGACTAACGCTACGAGATCACCACAACACGGAGAGCGGACACGTCAGCAGCTCACAGTCAGAGAAACGCCGTTACGGATGGGAGATGATTCACAAAGTTTCACTCTGCAGGTCCTCTTCAGCATCAAAACACCACGAGTTCATCAAACATTCAGGAAGTAAATCATTTCATACACATCAGCCAGAAAAGGATCACTTCTCACATAGAAAACAACTATTTCCTGGTTGTCTCCTCTCTGATTGGCTGTTAATGACAGGTGGACTCCACCTGCCTCAGGTAACAGAACCAAAGGCGCTTCTCAGGACGGATCCCTTGCAGCTGCCTCTCTATGACTCGTCGTCAGATATTGCTGTAAGATTTGATTCTTATCCGAATCCTCAAAACTCTTTGCTCATGTTCCAGATATTCAGATAAATTTATTTGTTCCCCAACGAAAGGATTCGTTTTACACAGGAAGCACCTTCAGGTTCTGATTCTGGGATTTAACACCGCTGGATCCAGAAAGGCCCAACAATTGGGTTCAGACTGGGCAGAACCGGTCTGGATCCGACTATGTTGAACCTTTTCGGATCAAGCTGAACCAAATCAGAAGGTGTTTTAAAGACTTGTGTTACATTTCAAACAGAACTCACAAGTGATCAATAAAACAATAAATAAATAGATAAATAAACAATAAAAATACTTTACACTGTAAAGAAAAAACAAAACAAAAACACATCTCAGCTTCAGACGAAAATAAGAAACTGAAACAAAAATCAATAAATATTCCAGGAACTGGCGACAGAGGCTACCAGAGGTTCTGATCTTAGACCAGCCTGGAGATCCACAGCAGAGTGACACATCTTCACTTCTACAGGATCTCTGGAGTTATTCTTTACAACCAAACGTATCTGTGGAGGTGAGACGGGCAGGTAGCTCACCTGTCTCACCTCCAGCAGCAGACACACAGTTTCATGGACGTGTGCTAATAATTATCATCATTATTCATAATGTTCACAGAAACACAGAGACACAAACACAAACTGGCTTCATCTTAACCCTCAATAGACGACTGGGGGCTTTCTCCGTGGGCAGGGCTACCTTTACTGGGACGACTGAGGAAAACAACAGAAAAACACAAAGAAAGAGAGAACAGGTGAGTCAATCAACAGGAGGGAGTTCAGGTGGAGACAGACATCTGTTAGAGCCCATCCCAAACTAGTTAGGACCACCCCCCACAAGACGAACTCCAATTGGACCAACAAGCTGGTTCATAAACACCACACTGAACTTTACCAGCTGGATCAACACGGACCAGTCAGAACTGTGTGGAACTAAGTTCTGGTTCTGAAACCAGAAGGAAAGCTAGTGTTTGGAATCCTAACGGGATCACCCCCGGGAGAGGGCGGTACTGTCAGGACCCTCGAAGAATTCATGACCTATTGCTGGGTTGTTGATGACATAGTATCGAAGTGTACAGTTGTTACAATGGAGAAATATAAAAGTTTTTTTCGTGTTCTGTAAGTCGTGTGTCAGAGAAAAGACAATAAAAGTGGATCAACAATCTACGGCTAAAAACAGGATGTGCAGAAACGAACATAGCAAGAGTTTGCAGCGACCACTTTCTAACGGGATTTTATCATTTAAATCCTATTTTCAGATATTTTCTTGGACAGTTACTGGAATTTGGGTTTGCAGAAGCTAAATAAATTATTTTCAAGTAGATCCAAGCACATAGAAATAACAGTGGTGTTAGTGATAGCATTGCTATCATAGGCTAATGACTTCAAATAGCACAAGTCACTTCTCACCCAGGCAGAAACAAGTCGAAAGACATTTAACGCTTCTTTGATCCTAAATGTTTGACCCAACCTGAAACTTAATAATTGTAGCTTCGAGGAGTTTGAAAGCTTTCATCTGGCTCGTCGTATAATACGAGCTCTGCAGCAGATAGTTTATGTCAATCGCCACGATGCCGGTAAATCCTCCAGATTATATGACAAGTCTTTTTTATTATGACAAAATGGCTCAGATCCTAAATGTATGCAGATTTTTTTTTGCGATATCTGCATCAGCCCATTTAGAGCATTAGCGTACTCTGTGATCCATTTCACTGTTTTCAACTGGTGCAAATCACTTCCTGTCCCCTTTCTGACATTTGCTCATCATCCAGATCATGTGACTGACACCCAGCAATTCTAACAAATATTCTTTAAACTTCTCGATTCTATAATTAATAATACATAGAATTAAAAAAAACTTTTTTATCTGTCCCAAACTCGTCAACTAGTTTCAGATATAAGCGATGAAAAAAAGGTCTTTCGAGACTGGAAGTGGGGGTTACCCTCAAGGGGGAGTCGGTACTATCAGGACCCACAAAGAAATCCTGAACTAATTTAACAAATAACTAAATGTGTTCAGATCTAATTCTATATTAAATAATAAAAGCTATCATCTAGTTTGTTATGAGCAGTTATGTTTAATGACAAAGAAACCTGGTCTTTAGAGTCCGGAAGGTGAGGTTACCCTTGATGAGAGGGGTACTGTCAGGATCTGCCAAGAAATCTTGAACTAGTTTAACAAATATTTAAATATCTTCAAAAGTAGTTCTATAATAAATAATAAAATCCATAATTTACTGTAGTTTCAGAATAATGAGCAGTCATGATTAAGGAAAAAGAAAACTGGTCTTTAGAGTCCAGAAAGTGGGTTACCCTTGAGGAGAGAGGAACTGTCAGGACCCTCAAAGAAATTGTGAACTATTCTAACAATCATTCTTCAAACATCTTAAATTATAACAAATATACAGTATAATAAATAACACAAAACATCAACTAATTTCAGAGTTAGAGAAGTCCCAATTAATGACAAAGAAAACTGGTCTTTAGAATCCAGAAAGTGGGTTACTCTTGAGGAGAAGGGGTACGTACTATAAGGACCCTCAAAAAATGGTGAACTATTCTAACAATCATTCTTCAAACATATTCAATTACAATATATAATAACTAACAAAAAAAACATAGAGTTTCGGAGTTAGAGCAGTCCTGAAAGTCCAGAAAAGGGGGTTACCCTTGAGGAGGTGGGTACTGTCAGGAACCACAACAAAAACTGCACCTTAATGCATTTCAGAGCTGAACTGGTTTAAAAATCACTTCTGATGTTGAAGTTTGTGAAGACAGTTGTATTTTTTTGTTTTTTTTTAAACCCACAGTGAGGGAATGAGAGCCAAGAGGTCAAAGGTCAGGGGTCACAGGTTGCCTCAGACTCAACAGGACTATAGTGGTTTAAAGAAATCCAGCATGTTTTGGTTTCACAGCTGTAAAAGGCTAGACGCCAGGAGGATCCAGCAAAAACTACAAAAAACAAAAACAGTTCTGTCCAACTGAGACCTTCAGGAAAAAAGAGTGAAAGTAAAAACATACTGGAACAGAGAAGAACCTTTTAGAACCTCCTGTCTAGACTGCTTCAACTAATTAAGATTAAAATCAAATCCAAGTATTCAGAACCCATTTGGATCAGAACCCAGTGGGGAAACTTGGAACCAGTGATTTAAAAGTATCTATATTTTTGTGAACACATTTTGGAACTGGTCTTAAAACCTTTTGAGGGACATTTGATTTATCAGAAAAGCTTTTAGGAACCTCCTAGAACCAGATGCTGGAACAACGTGGAACCGAGCAGAACTAGAACCAGTCAAAGTCTTCAGGGTCCTGTCAGAATCAGCTGGTACAAGTAGGACGTCCACTTAATCCATATCAACAGCCGAGACCTGAACCAACCGTTGTTTGTTTCAGTTTTTTTTTTTTACCAAACCGTCACTTTGGGGTACCAACATTCTACTGAAGATCAGTGGAACCAGAACCAGCTGAATCAGAACCAGCTGGAACCACAGGGGAACGTTTGTGAGCACGACTGCATCAGGTTTGTCTTTATATATGAGCTTCAGCTGTGCTAATGTGTGAGGGTGGAGTCGGGGGCGGAGTCAGTCTGAGGCTGGTCTGGTGGATCGGGATGGAGATGCTGGAGGTCTGCGGCTGACAACAAACAAACAAAACAAAACAAAAACAACAGAGACAGACAGTTACAGGTCGATGGAGAGCTCAGTCAGGTGACTAACAGTGATGCAGGGGGAGTGGGCGTGGTCACACGTGAAGAATCTGATTGGACAATGAAGCACACAGATACGCACACAGAGGTGGTGAGAAACAGTGACATCACACGGACAGCTGACGTACCATTGGTGAACTCCTCACTGGTCACTGATAGAGATTCTGAAAGAATAACCATATATGGTCAATGTGAGGGGGCGGGGCTTGAGGGCGGGGCTATCAATGACATACCTCACAGCTTCCTCTTTAGCCTTTTAAGGTACTGGTAGAACACGATCACACAAACAGAGAGCTAAGACAACAAGACAGATGAGTTGAGAGACAGAAGACTGTAGCTTCGTTTCCATTGTAAATGTGCACAAAACTTTGTCGATATTCTGTTAATATCGAAAAAACACAGTTTCGCAACTGCGGTGTTTCCATTAAGTAAGAAATACTATTAAAGTCACGTGTGAATACATTTGTTCTCGCAATAAGTCATTACAAACATGGCGGCGATGGATGTAAACACATAGCATGTTGCTACCACGACACTAGCGCTCATCATCAGAGGAGACGTCGGCGTCTTTTATCGAGGCTTTCCAGAGACAAGTCCCTACTTGGGAGCGGCTACGTATGCTGTGTTTTTGGGAAATTGTAGTCGGTGAGTTTGCTACTTTATACTACTTCTGTGATATTACTACTATATCTACTTCCTGTTATCTTCGTCGTCATCTTTTTCACCAGTAGAAACAGCCGGTTGTTGATCACGTGACTCCCGTGATGCGAAAAAATGTTTCCATTGCAGTTTTGCGAGAAACACCAATTTCGATACGGCCAAAAAACCACCTAATCCTAGCTCAAAAACATTTTGTCGAAAAATGTAATTTTTTTCTAAATTGACGTGTTTCCATTGAGCAAATTTATTTTCGAAATTCTAATTTGCGCATTTTCATGGTCAATGGAAACGCAGCTAGAGTGTCCTGCAGACAGACAGGAAGGGGACAGGTAGGGACAGAGACAGGTGTAGGGTTAAACAGACAGGTAGAGAGAGAGAGACAAGAAGAAAGATGGGTTAGTGATGGCGAGAGAGGCAAACGTGTCCTCTGATGGATGCCTAGGTGCTGAGTCAGCTGGACGATGAACGTGACTCGTTAGTTTGTGTCTTGTGGAGACGACTGTGGACAGACAGGTGAAAATGAGACATGGTAGGGAAGACGACGGGACATGAAGGGAGGGATGATGATGGAGGGAGGACAGAGTACGAGGGACAAAGAAAGACCACTTTCTTTTCCGCGTCTGTGCAGGTTGTTTGTGGATCGCTGCTCGTCGTTCTACAGCACCAACAAAGAAGAAGGAACTTCCTGTTTGAACAGGAATCTAATCAAACCGTTTTCAGATCAGCATCAACACAACCTGAAACCTTTCAACTGCAACGTGTTTACAAACAAACAGGAAATGAGCTTTTATTTTGATAAAACTTTCTCAGGTGGAAAGATTTCAGTCGTGTGATGAGCTCAAAAGGACTCGCTGATCTGAACACCTGGAAACGTTCATGATGCATTCAAGGCTCACTGCAGTGTGGGAAACCGCAGCTCGAAGACAGTAATTACAATCATCTGAAGGTTCTGGTTCTGTCAAAACCTGTCCAATCCAGTCAGACCCATGCTGAGAACTTCACACTGCCTGTAGGAGCCTCAAAGAGCCGGCCCTGCAGAACAGAACCAGAACCAGAACCTCCCACTGCACTAACCTGGGGACTCCAGGTGGGGGCGCTCTGTTGGGGCGCGAAGGGACAGAGGGTGGGGGCCCTGGATCAGGAGACACAGCGGGACGGGACGGAGGGCCGGGGGCAGCTCGGCCGCCGGGTCGTGGAGGACCCGGGGGGGCCCGGCGTTGAGGAGTTGGACTGGACATGGGAGACCTGTGGAGACCAGCAGAGTCTCAGAGACACCGCCCGAACCGTCCACGAGTGCCAGATGACCCGGTACCAGGTTACCTGCGTCCAGACGGCATCCCCGTCACCTGCAGCCAGGAGTCGTCGACAGGTGGAGGTGCTGCTGTGGTAACAGTGGTGGTGCTGATGTCACCGATGATGTTCAGCCCCTCCCGCAGGGCGTGGTACATCCGCAGCATCTCGTCCCGCCGCTGGGCCTGGACCGAGGACAGGGATCAGTTCAGGGACAAAGACAGGGACAGATAGGTGTCTGCTCACCTGTCTGAGGTGGTCTCACCTGTCTGAGGTGGTCTCACCTGTCTGATGTGGTCTCACCTGTTCCTGGGACTCCTCCATCAAAGTGTTCTGGTCTCCACAGGAGTACAGCTGAGCCAGCAGGTCAGAGTGGATAAACTCTTTTGTCTGAGGAGCAGAAAAAAAATTAAAAGAGTGTGTGTGTGTGTGTGTGTGTGTGTGTGTGTGTGTGTGTGTGTGTGTGTGTGTGTGTGTGTGTGTGTGTGTGTGTGTGTGTGTGTGTGTGTGTGTCGTACATTGTTGACCATGAGGTGCATGATGGTTTTGGGGATCAGGTCTCTGACGGTGCGGTGGATGATGGCCAGGTACGAGTCCACCAGGTTCCTGACGATCTCCACCTGTCGCTCCAGCTGAGGGTCCATACTGTGGATGTGCCCGTCAGTGCTGGACTCCTCTGCCTCCACCTGTCGACACACACACACACTGTGAAACACAAACAGACCCAAACATGAGAACTGCTTCCTCCTTGAGACACGGATCATGAACTCACCTTTTCTTTGTCCTGCAGGACAGGGACAAAGAGAGACAGGACAGTATTAGTAAGTAATCAGACTGTTGGGTTCCAGAACCACAGTGATAAAAGTAAAGCAGTAGCAGTGACTCAGAATTAATGTAACAGTGCAGTACCACGCTGCGTTCAGGGTACACTCCGGCCCGTAGGAAAGAAGCCTTCCAGCTGTCAACCTCCTCCTGGGACTCACTGGCCAACTCCAGCTGACGGTAGTCCTTGTACACATTCCTACAACAACAGAAAACATCCTGCAGAACTGAAGGGGACCGAGTACACGACCAGGTGGAGCTCCTCTAATGTCTGCAGTTTTAATAAAGAACTCAGCTTCAGCTGGTTTGCACACAGGGTGAAACTGACCTGTGCTCAGTGTTGAACAAAGCGAAGATGTGTTTGCTGGACATGAAGCTTTTCTCGATGTCCTTCAGTTTCAGGTTGTCCACAGGAAGCATGTACTTCTTCTCCTTTTCCTGTAACGGGTGCAGCAATGACAAGTTTTACTCTCTGACAATATCTACACTTTTCAAATACATTAGGGTTCACACCGAGCTCTGGGGGTCACCTATGTGACCCAGAGCTCCTCTCCATGAGCTATATTTTGATCCAAAAGAGTCCTAGATTCTTCCAGAGTGATTTTATACCTGGATTTTTTAACCAAATCAGGTAGGAGTACTGGTCTACAGTCTGAAATGGAAAGGAAACTCACGGTGTGTTTGTGTCTTTTTACCTCATCATCTTTGTACCAGGACAGAGCCTCTGCGGTCAGGACGAACCAGTAGTCTTTGGCTCCGCCCTTCATGATGCCGATGTTGTTGATAGTGAGCCAACCTTTGCGAATCACCTGCGTAATTACACAAGTGAAACATGTGCTTAGTTATGATGTCATCAATTCTTAAACTGTGAGATCAGCATTTAAATGAGTCGTGATAAATAAGAGGCCAAACATTTGTTTCCTTTTCACTGATTATTTACAAACAATCAGTAAGAGTTTATTTTAGCATTCATCAACTTTCTTCTTACTGTGAAAATCTACTTTTCACTTACTGAATTAAACATAACCTCACTATAAAGTAATCAAAGCATAACACGAAACAAACCTGAAACTAACTACAACTAAATGTAAACGTAACAACAAAGATTAATTTAACACAAACACAAACTAAACAAACCACTAACCAAACAAAACTAACCTGAAACAACATAAAAATGACAAAAAGAAACAACTGAAAACTAAACAAAACTAAATATTGCCAAACAAAAACAAAAAAACAACAACCAAAAACTAACCAAAACCAACTGAAAACTAAACCAAACACAAAAACAAGAACAACCGAAAACTAAACAAAACCAACTAAAACCAACTGGAAACTAAACAAAACCAACTAAAACCAACTGAAAACTAAACTAAATTTAATAACACCAAACGAAAACCAAAAAAGCAACCAAAAACTAACCAAAACCAACTGAAAACTAAACAAAACCAACTAAAACCAACCGAAAACTAAACTAAACCAACTAAAACCATCAGAAAACTAAGCTAAATTAAATAATACCAAACAAAAACCAACCGAAACTAACCAAAACCAACTGAAAACTAAGCAAAATTAAATAATACCAAACAAAACCAACTGAAAACTAAGCAAAACTAAACAACTAAACCAAGCCAAAACCAACCTAAAGCTAAACCAAACCTAACGTAAAACTAACTCAAACCAAACCTGAAAGCTAAACCAGAGCTGACCAGCTCTCCACCAGCGTCAGAAAAACAAGCACTCTCACACACTCACCATGATCTCGTCCTGGTTGCCGCAGCAACAGAGGCAGAGAGAGGGATGGGAAGAGGCAGAGGTGAGAAGAAACGAGAGCAACACATGAATGAGTCATCCATTCATCCAGCTTTAGCCCCGCCCCTCCCAGGTCACCTGCTGGGACTCACCTGGTTTCCTGTGGCCTTCTTCTTGCTCATCTGACTGCTCTTCTGCTGCGCACTGACACACACACACACACACACACACACACACACACACACACACACACGTTCAGCTCAGGTGGAACAGTGACACCTGTGCCTGGATCTAACAGGAGAGTTCTGGACAGGTTCTCATTCCAGTCATTTTGGTTTTTAATGTTTTGTTTCAAGTTTCTTACTTTGCAAAGCCGATGAAGTCCTCGTGGTTGGTGTTGACGTAGGCCAGCTCGATGTCAATCAGCAGCATCACCTGGTGAGACAAACGATGACTCAGAGTTTATCCTGACAGGATCAGACACACCTGAACGCCATCATCCAACAAATACAGACACAGAGTCAGGTCACACACCTGGCCTTTAGTACGGCTCTCCCGGTCTCTGATGTGCTGAGTGACGATTCTCTCCATCTCCTCTCGGAGCATTGGATACTGAGCCAACTGCAGACAGGAAACAGGAAGTAGTAAACAGGACATAGGAAACAGGAAGTAGAAAACAGAGCATAGAAGTCAGGAAGTAGAAAACAGGAAGTAGAAAACAGAACATAGGAAACAGGAAGTAGAAAACNTCAGTAGTACTGCGTTATACTCAGTAGTACTGCATTATACTCAGTAGTACTGTGCTGTGTACTGGTACTGACTGCAGCAGGGCCTTGGTCTTGCGGCTCGGGTCATCCGGTCTGAAGTTCTTGTACTCCTCCACCTCCTTCTCGATGGACAGCAGCTGGCTCTGCAGTTTGCTGCGTAACCCTGGCAACGTGTCCCGGATGTGGTTGGTCAGTTGCTAGGGGTGACGGAGAGATGCTCTGTTACTACGGCAGCAGGATAAATCTGGGAACACATGATGGACCTCGTTTGGTTCAACTTTAAAATAACTTCTGATTTGGGTCAGAACCACGTGAAATAAAACCGTATCCAGACCGCCGACCTGTCAGGACCGGTCCAAGGACTGAGACCCTACTTTTAGAGGACCGTCGCAGGACGTCCAGCAGCTGAACCTAACAAACTCTGCAGCTCTGAGCTGAAACTGTCTCACCTGACGGAGGACCTGGTTTACCTGGTTGAGGGTTTTCTGCAGGTAGGCGGTGCCCATGCGGTCCCCCAGGTGACGATAGGAGGGGTGGGACAGGAAGAACTTCCTCTCAGCCTGCATGGCTGCTGTGATGTCTTTCTTCCCATCGATGTCTTTCTGACTGCGGTTCACCACCCCGATGTACCCTGAGACCAGAGAGTCTTTTACTGTCCCCAACTGGACACCCAGACTCCAGGGGTTTGAGTTACTAATGAGCTGACAGCCAATCAGAAGTCAGGACTGGCTGTGATGTCATACCTCTGCGAAGCGGCAGCAGTTTGTTCTCCAGGATGTCTCTGGCATCGGTTCCTTCATCCATCAGGTCCAGTTTGGTGATGACGCCGATGGTCCTCAGACCTGCAACACATGAAAGCTTCAGTCTCTGACTTCAGGCGGGCGTGGACGAGATCCGGAGCTCGGAGTCGGGTTTGCAGGTGGACGTGGACTCGGACCTTGTGGATCTACCTCCTTGGCGATCTTCAGAGCATCTGAGTTGGCGAGGTCGGAGTTGGCCGGAGACACGGCGAGCAGGAGACAGTTGTCTTTGGTGACAAACTGCATCAGCATTTCTTTGATCTGGTGCTCGATGTCCGCCGGCTGGTCGCCCACCGGGACCTTCGTCATCCCCGGGAGGTCCACCAGGGTCAGGTTCAGGACTGCACACACAAGGCAGTCAGCACAGACTCACAATGGTTCTGTCAGGTGTGCCAGGTGTATCAGGTGTGTGCCAGGTGTGTGTCATGTGTGTCTTAGGTGTGTCATAGGTGTATCAGGTGTGTCAGGTGTGTGTCAGGTGTGGGTCAGGTGTGTCAGCTGTGTGTCTTAGGTGTGTCAGGTGTGTGTCAGGTATGTCAGGTGTGTCAGGTGTATCTCAGGTGTGGGTCAGGTGTGTCAGGTGTATCTCAGGTGTGNAGTAGAAAACAGGAAGTAGAAAACAGAACATAGGAAACAGGAAGTAGAAAACAGAGCATAGAAGTCAGGAAGTAGAAAACAGGAAGTAGAAAACAACATAGGAAACAGGAAGTAGAAAACAGATCATATGAAACAGGAAGTAGAAAACATAGCATAGGAAACAGGAAATAGAAATCAGAACATAGGAAACAGGAAGTAGAAATCAGAAAATAGGAAACAGGAAGTAGAAAAGAGGAAGAAGAAATCAGAACATGGGAAACAGGAAGTAGAAATCAGAACATAGGAAACAGGAAGAAGAAAACAGAACATAGGAAACAGGAAACAGGAAGTAGAAAACAGAACATAGAAAACGGGAAGAAGAAATCAAAACATTGGAGATGGGAAGTAGTAAACAGAACATAGGAAACAGGAAGAAGAAATCATAACACAGGAAAAAGCAAGTAGAAAACATAACATAGGAAACAAAACATAACATAGGAAACAGGAAGTAGAAAAGAAAACATAAGGAAAAGGAAGTAGAAAACAGAACAAAGGAAACAGGAAGCAGTAATCAGAACGCAAAGTAGGAAGCAGGGAAAACATTGTAAGGAGTATGGAAGTTAAAATCTTGGTTTCTTGTACTGTGTAATAACAGAGGTCGTACTGTGTAGTAAACGTAGTAACAGTGGTAGTACTGTCTAATAACAGTAGTAGTAGTAGTAACAGCAGTAGTATTCTGTAATAACAGAAGTAGTACTCTGTGGTACCAGCAGCAGTACTTGCAGTACCTTCTGTGTACACTGTCTGACGGTGTTGACGAGCTCGCTGATCACCAGATCGACACACTTCTGACACGGTTCTTTGAGCTGAGCGATCTGACGTTTCACGATGGTCTCGAAGGCCATGTCGGGCGTGAACAGACCCGTCCTGAGCACAGAACACAGGTGAGACCACACAGGTGAGACCACACATGTAAAACCTCTGAACAGAGTGGTTTCCACAGACCCCTGCAGACACCAGACCCACCTGATTCCATGGATGTTCTTGATGGCGTAGCTGATTTCCTTACGCAGGGTCTTCTCGTCACCCTCCAGCTGCAGGCGAAACACATCGACATCTGTTTAACTTCCTGCAACACGTTGCCACGGTGACAACTCTGCGTTTGTTTACCTTGACCAGTTCGAAGGGGAAGCGCTCGTGGAAGACGCGGTTGATCTTCGCTCCTCCTGACAGCTCGTACGTGTCCACCTGGTCTCCAGAGCCCTCGATCCGTTTCTCGAAGTCCACGGCAAACTGCTGCACCATCCTGAGACACACAGAGCTGTCAATCACCTGACTGCTGACGTAGTACTGCAGTATACTCAGTACTGTGTTGTACTCAGTTCTCTGTTATACTCAGTACTGTGTTATACTCAGTACTNGTCAGGTGTATCTCAGGTGTGGGTCAGGTGTATCTCAGGTGTGGGTCAGGCGTGTCAGGTGTATCTCAGGTGTGTATCAGGTGTATCTCAGGTGTGTGTCAGGTGTGTCAGGTGTATCAGCTGTGTGTCTTAGGTGAGTCAGGTGTGTGTCAGGTATGTCAGGTGTGTCAGGTGTGTGTCAGGTGTGTATCAGGTGTATCTCAGGTGTGTCAGGTGTGGGTCAGGTGTCAGGTGTATCTCAGGTGTGTGTCAGGTGTGGGTCAGGTGTATCTCAGGTGTGTGTCAGGTGTATCTCAGGTGTGTCTTAGGTGTGTCAGGTGTGTGTCAGGTGTGTCTTAGGTGTGTGTCAGGTGTGTGTCAGTTGTGTCAGGTGTGTGTCAGGTGTGACAGGTATGTCAGGTGTGTGAAGTGTGTGTCAGGTGTATCTCAGGTGTGTGTCAGGTGTGTCAGGTATGTGTCTGGTGTGTGTCAGGTGTGTCAGGTGTATCTCAGGTGTGTGTCAGGTATGTGTCATGTGTGTCAGGTGTGTGTCAGGTGTGTCAAGTGTGTGTCAGGTGTGACAGATATGTCAGGTGTGTGAAGTGTGTGTCAGGTGTGTGAGATGTGTCAGGTATGCCAGGTGTGTGTCAGGTGTGTTACCATTGGGAGAGTACACTCTGAGGTTGATGGGAACAGGACTGATTCCTTTGTTGTGTCCCGTCACTCGATCCGTCTCAGCCTCGATCTCCTGACGAACTTCATCAAAGTCTGTGAACTTCTTCCCTTTACAGTGCAGGAACTCTGCATACTCTGATCAGATCAATTACATCACATCAGATCATTACATCACATCAGATCAATGACATCACATTAGATCATTACATCACATCAGATCAATGAAATCACATTAGATCATTACATCACATTAGATCAATGAAATCACATTAGATCATTACATCATATTAGATCAATAACATCTCATTTGATCATTATATCACATTAGCTTGACGACATCATTTTGAACCAATGACATCACATCAGATCGGTACACTTCAGAGACAAACACGTCTTTCAGCCTCACCTGTTGGACAGTTGATGAGCTGAAGCACCAGTGGACGACGAGTGACGATTCCTGAACCACGAGGGAGGAAGTCCCTGTTTGGAAGGGAGGAGGGCTTATTAATGCCACGCCTACTTTTAATGAACAAATATACAAGGTTAACCTGTTAACCAATGATTGTGATGATCTGGATCCATGGATCTAACAGGAATCTGGATGTGTCCAGTAGTGTTGTAAAGACCACCTAACCCGAGACCAAGTCAAGACCAAGACCACAGGGTCTCGAGACCGACAAGACCAAGACTTTTAGTGCTTGGACCAAGTCGAGACCATTATGTATTTATTTATACTGATATACAGTATATATTATATTTGGATGCAGTTAGAGAGGACATGAATATGGCTGGACACTGAGGACAGAGTGAGGACAGGGTGAGGACAGAGTGAGGACAGAGCGAGGACAGGGTGAGGACAGGGTGAGGACAGAGTGAGGACAGAGTGAGGACAGAGTGATGACAGAGTGAGTACAGAGTGAGGACAGGGTGAGAGTGAGGACAGAGTGAGGACAGAGCAAGGACAGAGTGAGGACAGAGTGAGTACAGAGTGAGGACAGAGTGAGGACAGAGCAAGGACAGAGTGAGGACAGAGTGAGGACAGAGTGAGGACAGAGTGAGTACAGAGTGAGGACAGGGAGAGGACAGAGTGAGGACAGAGTGAGTACAGAGTGAGGACAGAGTGAGGACAGAGTGAGGACAGAGTGAGGGCAGGGTGATGACAGAGTGATGACAGAGTGATGACAGAGTGAGGACAGGGTGATGACAGAGTGAGGACAGAGTGAGGACAGAGTGAGTACAGAGTGATGACAGAGTGAGGACAGGGTGAGGACAGAGTGATGATAGAGTGAGGACAGAGTGAGTACAGAGTGAGGACAGAGTGAGGGCAGGGTGATGACAGAGTGATGACAGGGTGATGACAGAGTGAGGACAGGGTGAGGACAGAGTGAGGACAGAGTGAGTACAGGGTGATGACAGAGTGAGGACAGGGTGAGGACAGAGTGAGGACAGAGTGAGTACAGGGTGATGACAGAGTGAGGACAGGGTGAGGACAGAGTGAGGACAGAGTGAGTACAGGGTGATGACAGAGTGAGGACAGGGTGAGGACAGAGTGAGGACAGAGTGAGGACAGGGTGAGGACAGAGTGAGGACAGGGTGAGGACAGAGTGAGGACAGAGTGAGGACAGGGTGAGGACAGAGTGAGGACAGGGTGAGGACAGAGTGAGTACAGGGTGATGACAGAGTGAGGACAGGGTGAGGACAGAGTGAGGACAGAGTGAGTACAGGGTGATGACAGAGTGAGGACAGGGTGAGGACAGAGTGAGGACAGAGTGAGTACAGGGTGATGACAGAGTGAGGACAGGGTGAGGACAGAGTGAGGACAGAGTGAGGACAGAGTGAGGACAGTGTGAGGACAGAGTGAGGACAGAGTGAGGACAGGGTGATGACAGGGTGAGGACAGAGTGAGGACAGTGTGAGGACAGGGTGAGGACAGGGTGAGGACAGAGTGAGGACAGAGTGAGGACAGAGTGAGGACAGAGTGAGGACAGAGTAGTTCAGTTTCTGAGACAAATGAATTTAAAATAAGAACAGTTGTTGGTTTGATTCTTTCTGAAAAGCTGCAGCTCGAGAACCTCTGACCCAACATACTGGCTGTGTGTCTCTGTGTGTGTTTGTGTGTGTGAGTGTGTGTCTGTGTGTTCTTGTGTGTCTCTGTGATTGTGGTGTGTGTGTGTGTGTGAGTTTTTGTGTGTCTCTGTGATTGTGTGTGTCTCTGTGAGTGTGTTTGTGTCTCTGTGTGTGTTTGTGTCTCTGTGWKTGTGTGTGTCTCTGTGTGTGTTTGTGTGTGTGTCTGTGATTGTGTGCGTCTCTCTGTGTGTGTTTGTGTGTGTCTCTGTGATTGTGTGCGTCTCTGTGTGTGTTTGTGTATGTCTGTGATTGTGTGTGTCTCTGTGAGTTTTTGTGTGTCTGAGTTTTTGTGTGTCTGAGTTTTTGTGTGTCTCTGTGAGAGATTCCCTGCAGAAACACGTCACAGTTGAAGCTCTGATGAGGCTCTGGGTCATGTGACCAGCAGGGACCAATGGGAGCAGAGATGCAGACACAGAGCCCCGCCTCAGGCCCAAGATAAAAATATTCAACCAATCAGACGTCAGCTGCCAGCAGGAACTACAGAACCATCAGAACCGAGGAGATGCTGCTGGTCACTGCAGAACAGAACCGGGCCTCAGCTTCAGTCCAAAACATTTTAATCTAAAACCGGTTCAGGAACCGGATCCAGGTTCTAATTCCAACTTGAACAGAACCGCCTACAGAAGTTCTATGAGAAGAACCGAGTCTGATCTCTGGTTCTGGTTCTAACTGACAGAACTCTGTTTTGTCTGAAGATACACCAGGTGGTGAACCGGTACCAGAACCAAACAGTGGTGCCAGAACTCTTTAGCTCCTGTCAGCAGCACCGGATCAGAACATCTGGGTCAGAGTCAGCTGGAACCAAAGCCTAGAACCGTTGGCTGAAGAATCCTCCAGAGTCCATGGGATCCTCAAGAACCCTCAGACCTGTAGAGCCCATGAGACCCCCAAGAATCTGCAGAACCTATGAGACCCTTAAGTACCAGAAGACCCTCAAGAACCCAGAGACCTGCAGAGACCTGCAGGGCCCATGAGACCCTCCAGAACCGTCAGACCCTCGGGTCCACAGTCAGGGTGTTACACAACAGCACAGAGTGTTCCAGGACCTGAAGGGTTAATTAATCCCTGAGTTTTACCTGACAGGATCATCATCCTGAACCTGGTCACGATTTTTAAAGGTTCATTGATTCACGCACACGTGCGCGCGCACAGGTGTCAGCTGAGAACAGGTGAGCAGCTCCGATAAATCAGATCAGTCCAGGTGTTTCTACTGCACGTGACAAGAACACCTGATCAGGCTCCAGAACCAGCAGAACCAACACGGACCTGCATCACGTGACGGAGCCTACAGCACCGACAGGATGTATCTCCTCCGGCCCGGTTCGGTTCTGACACACACACTGCCCGGCCCGGTTCGGTTCGGACGCACACAGAACTCACTTGCCCACGAAGTTCTCCAGCACCGAGCTCTTCCCGGCGCTCTGTCCGCCCACCACCGCGATCTGCGGCAGGTCGAGCTCGGCGTTCAGCCCGATGGAGGAGAAGGCGTCCTGGAGCCGGTTCACCAGCGGGATCAGCTCCTCCATGCCCCGGTTCCCCATGACGGCGGCGGGCGGGGCGGGGCGCTGCGGTGCCGCTCGGTCCGGTCCGACCCGGTGATCGGTGCTGATGGGGAGGCTGAGGATGCTCCTGCAGCTGTGACCTTCAGCTCCTCCTCCTCCTCGATCCGCTGCAGGGAGGGAACGCGCGCGCGTGCACTCGCGAATCTGGTACGCGCCTTCACAATAAAAGTCCCGGGATGTTTTATTTTGGAGTTTTAATTAAAGACAGAAGCCTTCAAACATCCGGTAACAGCAGACAGCAGGTTTAAAAAACACAAGTAATGACAAATAAATCCAAATAAAATTAACCTTTTTATCCCGTTTTGTTGGAAAATGCTTCAAACGCTCAGTAGCGCCACCTGCTGGTCAAATGTGTTTACAACAAGATATGATGCAATAAATAGAAATTATGTAATAAAGTCTCATTTAATATTCTTCTGCAATTCTCAAACATCTTATTTTCTATTTAAACATATACAACTGGGTCAAATATTCCCATGACAAATTTAGAAACGTTTGTTTAAAATGTAAATAAAACAATTTTTTAATGCTTTGAAAATATTATAAACCCATATTTTCTTCATTATTTACCATCAAATGTTGAATCTAAGAAATTTTTACCATTTTTTTTATTTAATGTCATGTAAACGTTGTTCCAGGAGCAACAAAAGAGTAACAGGTACAAATGAGGATAATTTTATAACTAATTATGATGATTATGATCAGGTAAATAAGTGCACTGAGTAAAACAGGATTTTATCAATTAAAATATCATCTCAAGTCTGTAACAAAATATCTAAATATCATCTAAATACAAAGAAACAATATAAAAATAAAGGTTCAAGGAAACAACTGGAACAACTTTAAATAACTTTAAAAAGACACATCAAATTCAAAATCACCCAAAAATTAAAAAATAAAAGCTTTATGATCCACATGTTCAGAAAACAGATTTATTGAAGGTTGATGATTCGCTGTTTTCAACATATTTTCACAGATAAAATTATTATTTTTTAGGTTTTGAATCTAAAAATAAAGATTGATAGAAAAGTTCACAGATTGAAACCAGTGAAGAGCCACTTCCTGTCTGTGGAGGAAGTGGTCACATGACTTCTTTCTCAGGTAGAAACAACATGACGGTTTCACTCTTTGGCAGAAAATATTAAATTGCACTTTGGTTATTTTAAATAAATAAAATATTTCAAAATAAAATAAAGACATAAATATTTTCTGTCCTGCTGCCAGTGCAACAGGTCCAGGACCAGGACCAGATCTCAGGTTCTGGTTTTGGTACCATGTGTTCTCACAGGTAATAAAAAACCTAGTCTGATTGGCAGCAGCTGGAACAGGTGAGGCTCTCTTTTTGTGCAAACTGTAAACGCAGCTCGACAGGTAGGTGTGCTGCAGGCAGAGTGGGCGGAGCTTCAGAGAGTGCTGACAAGTGGATCACCTGGCTCACAGACTGACTCTGGACCAGAGAGGGTTTTCATCTGCCTCCTGGACACTGAGGTCCAGGTGAGAAACACCTGCTTTGTGGTCCACTCAGGTGGCTCCTAAAGAAACGCACCTGTTAACGACCGTGCACACGAGCCCAAACGGTCCAGGTGAGTCCGTCTCTGTTCAGGTGAGTCAGTCCTGGTCCAGCGGCAGCTTGACGAAGGCGATGGCGGCGAGCTCCTTGCAGAACTCTTCGAGGACGATGACCGCTTTGAGCAGCGTCAGGTGTTCCAGTCTGAGGACACGCCCACAAGAGAAAGACTCAGGTGAACCTCAGTAATTGTGTCAAATAATTCAAACAGACAGGTACACAGACAGGTAGATTAACAGGTAGAACAACAAGTAGACAGACAGGTACACAGACAGGTAGAACAACAAGTAGACAGACAGGTATACAGACAGGTAGAACAACAGGTAGACAGACAGGCAGAACGACAGGTAGACAGACAGGTAGAACAGGTAGACAGACAGGTACACAGACAGGTACACAGACAGGTAGAACAACAGGTACACAAACAGGTACTCAGACAGGTAGAACAACAGGTAGACAGACAGGTAGAACAACAGGTAGACAGACAGGTAGAACAACAGGTAGACAGACAGGTCCACAGACAGGTAGAACAACAGGTAGACAGATAGGTACACAGACAGGTAGAACAACAGGTACACAGACAGGGAGAACAACAGGTACACAGACAGGTAGAACAACAGGTACACAGACAGGTAGAACAACAGGTACACAGACAGGTACACAGACAGGTAGAACAACAGGTACACAGACAGGTACACAGACAGGTAGAACAACAGGTAGACAGACAGGTACACAGACAGGTAGAACAACAGGTAGACAGATAGGTACACAGACAGGGAGAACAACAGGTACACAGACAGGTAGAACAACAGGTAGACAGACAGGTACACAGACAGGGAGCACAACAGGTACACAGACAGGTAGACAGACAGGTACACAGACAGGTAGAACTACAGGTAGACAGACAGGTAGACAGACAGGTACACAGACAGGTACACAGACAGGTAGACAGGTACACAGACAGGTAGACAGGTACACAGACAGGTACACAGACAGGTACACAGACAGGGAGAACAACAGGTAGACAGACAGGTAGACAGACAGGTAGAACAACAGGTAGGTACCCAGTGTGGGAGTTCAGGCCAATCAGATTTCTTCTGGTGTCCAACAGTTTTTCAGACACATTAGAAACTTCCTGGATCCTCTGCATCAACTCAGCCATCACCTGAGAAACACACAGGTGAGACACACAGGTGAGACACACAGGTGAGACACACAGGTGAGACAGAAGAAGTGAAGTGAAACTTCTCAACAACCTCAGGAGCTGGTGATCCACCTTTAAGATTCAAATTTTCATCACTTAATATTTAAACAGTTTTTAATAAGACCCTCCCACAGCCCACCTGTCCGTCCCACAGCCCACCTGTCCGTCCCACAGCCCACCTGTCTTACCCTGACGAGGACGGAGAAGAGCGACCTGCAGCAGTGGGACAGGTGAATGTAGGGGTCCAGCAGGTACTCGTCCAGGAGGGCGTGGCTAAAGGCCGACAGTCGGGACAGGATGGCCGTCAGCTGCAGGTTCAACTCGTACGGCTGCAAACACACAGTTACCACGGTGACCAGGTGAGTCTCCGTCAACAGGTGAGTCCGGTGGGTCACGGGGGACAGCGTACCTGCTCCAGGATGCGTCCCAGTCGATCAAAGAGGACCTTGAGCAGGTGACCCTCGAAGAAGACTGCGTCCTCACCAGAGGGACAGGCGGGAGGAGGCGGAGCCTGCTGCCAGTTCCAGGACTGAGAGAGGGCCTGACACTGGCTCACCTGTTGGGGGTGGAGCCGCACAGGTGAGAAACCATGGCAACAATAAATGAAGTTAAGAGTGGGAGGACTTGTTCTGACCAAGGTGCGAGCGTCGTGCACGTACGACTCATAGCCGCCTTCCTGCAGCAGGTGAGCTGAGCGCACCTGGACCGGAACCAAACACAGGAAGCTACGGACAAACAGAACCGGGTCGTAGAGGGTCACACCTATCAGACCAAACTCAGGGACACAGAAACCCTGCAGACCAGCTGGTCTGGTCCCACAGGTGAGTCCTGCTGTCTCAGGTCTTACCTGTTGACCACGCCTGCAGAGGAGGACTGAGGAGGAGGAGGAGGAGGGGGGGCGCCGTCTGAGAGGCTGTCGGAGAAGAAGGGGTCCTCCTCCAGGTCTCTGGTGGACACGAGACACCTGTCAGTCTCACAACACACCTTCAACTGTCTCACTCTCTGGGACACAGTCATTCTGGACCTACTGGCTGTCCTCGCTGTCCTCGCCGCTCTCAGGTTGTCTGTCCTCCTGTCCTCCTGCAGGTGAGGACAGGTACCTGCGACCCCGCAGGAAACTCAACACCAACACGTCTAAAATGTCCTCGTGAGGCTTCTGCAGCAACTCGTCCACCAGGGACAGAGACGTCATGCTGATCTGAGGACACAGAGAGAGACGCTGAGCGGACAGGTGTGGGCGTGTCCCGCTGCGGGGGGGAGGGGCTCACCTGGTCAGAGATGTGGTCGCAGCGCTGCAGCAGCAGCTCCATCAGAGACGGCGTCCTCAACAGGAAGTGGACCATCTGATCCAGCAGGGACGGAGACTGGACGAGTCTGACGGCAGCACAGAGAAGAGAGGTGGACGCCAGGAACCACCTGCTCAGACCTGAACACAAACACCTGCAGGTGAGACAGGCCACGCCCCCTCAGGTGACAACATCAGGAAGCAGGAGGAGGAGCTTACGTGTGCAGCAGCTGAGGATGAAGAGCGTCCACGAGCCACAGCTGACGAACACACTGAGACACGTGCACACCCAGCACCTGCACGCACGCACGCACGCACACACACACACACACACACACACACACACACACACACACACACACACACACACACACACACACACACACACACACACAGACACACACACACAGACACACACAGGATCAGGTCACAACAATCGCTGTAGTACTGTAGTATTACTGCAGTACAGGTGTGTATAGGTGTGTACAGGTGAGTACAGGTGAGTATAGGTGAGTACAGCTGTGTACAGGTGTGTACAGGTGAGTACAGGTGTGTACAGGTGAGTACAGGTGTGTACAGGTGAGTACCTGTGGCGACTCTCTCGTCAGGTGATCCAGGAAGTCAAACCAGGTAAAGAAGCTGGTCACGTGACCTGGCTCTGACTCGGACCTGAGACCAGGAAACAGACTCACTCTTCAGCTTGCTGTGTGGGCGGGGCTGTTACCCTGGTAACAGCTGTGTGGGCGTGGCTGTTACCATGGTAACCAGCAGTGCCTGCTTACCTCCAGGGGGTCGGGGGCCAGCTCCGCAGCTCCGTGGCGTCCAGCTCCTCCAGAGGCAGCAGGAGGTGCAGCTCCTGCAGCCTCCGGGCCAGCAGCTCCCCCAGAGGGGTCCCAGCAGGCAGCAGCTCCTCTGAGGACCCGTCCAGGAGACCCGACAGAACCAGGAGGCTCTCGCAGGCCCTGTGGCTCACAGACGCCCTCTGGTAAAACACAACGACATCATGATGACATCATGATGACATCACAGAGCCCAGAAAAATGATTCTAAATCAGGGATGGGAAAAATCGTATAGCGTGCAATTAACTGTCTGAGATAGCTTAATATTTAATACTTTTACTGCGATTAGTGACAGAAGGCATTTCAACAACGTTAGTGCTAAAGTAGAGCTAAAATTAATGTGGATTAAACATGTGGCGCTTATGCAAATGCTAACACTAACAAGAGGCTAACACTAACAAGGATCTAACAATAACAAGGAGCTAAAGCTAATGAGGAGCTAACGCTAATGAGGGCTAACACTAACGAGAGGCTAACGCTAATGAGGAGCTAATGCTAACGAGGAGCTAATGCTAACGAGGGGCTAATGCTAACGAGGAGCTAATGCTAACAAGGAGCTGATGCTAACTAGGAGCTGACTCTAACGAGGAGCTGACGCTAACGAGGGACTAACGTTAACGAGGGGCTAACGTTAATGAGGAGCTAATGCTAACGAGGGGCTGACACTAACAAGGGGCTGACACTAACAAGAAGCTAACATTAACGAGGGGCTAACACTAACAAGGGGCTAATGCTAATGAGGGGCTAATGATAAAGATGGGCTAACACTAACGAGGAGCTAACACTAACGAGGAGATAACGCTAACGAGGAGCTAACACTAACGAGTGGTTGACACTAACCCAGAGCTAACAATAATGCTAATGTGAAGCTAAAGCTAATGCTAACTCACATGACTCTTGGTGAGCTGCAGCAGAGCCCAGAACAGTCCGCTCTCTGATTGGACAGGACTGCAGGCGGAGGCCTCTGATTGGTTGCAGGATGGATCTGTGTTGTGATTGGTTGTGTCCGTGCAGGAAGCTGGGGGTCTCTCTGTGACCTGAAAACATAAATGATGCCATCAGCCAAGACGCTAATCGGTACAGAAACCCGCAGCTCACCTGCTCACCTGTAAGATGTATCTGAGCGCGTGCGGATCCTGTTTGACCTGAGAGCAGACGGCCGACAGGAACTGAGCTTCCTCCTTCTCAGTGCAGGAACCAGGAAGTGCACAGAGACCAATCAGCTTCTGGTGGGCGGAGCAGAGAGACACTTCAGTCGCACGCGCTGTAGTTACACACGGTCTCCATGACGACACACGTACCTGCACAGGTCTGTAGACCCCGACGAGCTGCAGCAGAGGTTTCTGCATCTGAGAGAGCAGCTTGAAAAAGAAGAGCAGGACCTGCTGGGACATCCCCGGAGGATACTGAGGAGAAGAGTTCACCTCAGAACACACGGCTGTACACCTGAGACATGTGCTCTGCCTCACCCACAGCTAGGAGGAAGAGGTGTGTGTGTGTGTGTGTGTGTGTGTGTGTG